GACCTACCCACATCATCATTTACCCAGAATGCTTTGTGTGTAAATAAAATGGCTCCATCCATGTTAAAACATATTTTTAAACTTTTAAAAGTATAAAAACTGAACATCCTACAGTATTTTTACAGTCTTTATTTTACAGTTAAAGTATATGTTTATCATATAAAGTCTAATGTCACAATTAATCGGGGATCCCTTTAAAAAACAAAACAACACTGTGGTGCATTCGAGACTCTGTAAAAAAAGAAAGAAAATTAATTCCCAGATAGTGAAAGTGCAAATGTAAAGACTACACCTTGCTCTGAGGAATCAGGCTCCTGAAGTTCAAATCTTGGTCTTGAGCGTTTAACAGGCTGAACTATTTCGCTTTTGAAAGTTCCAGCTTCAGCCTTGCGAGGCCTCCCACGTCCTCGCTTGACCGTAGAGCCACTGACAACAGCTTGCCGTTTGGCTCCCTTTCGTCTCGGCTTAGAAGAACGGCTCCTGGTGTTTCTGATTTGCGGCGTTGAGCTGGAGCACGGTGAGCTTGCCTCTGACATCTATGAGCAACACAAAAAGGAAAATGACACGAAGGAAATGTTGGGAAATTCCACCGTAAAAACGACTTTTGCCGCACCTTTGGATTAGTGGTCACTTCAGTGTCCTGCTGCGTGCCATTTGTTTGTGGAGTGGAGTGAGAAATGTTGGATGCGTCGTCAGTGCTGGAGCTGTGGACTGGTGTGGAAGTCAGGCTGATTGTTTGGACCAGTCCTCTTTTTCTCTTTCCTCTTTTTGGTGTAGATTGTAAGGAAGGAAACAGATCGTTGCTTGGCCCAACAACCGATTCCTCTGCAGATGGAGGTGAGGCAGGATTCGTAATAACATCCTCTTTAGATGCCTTTTTAGGTTCTCTTTTCCTTGGTTTACGACGTCCACCTTAAATCACAGTCAGAACAATCAAGAATGAGACAAGTTTCAAAAGCTGTTAGGAGAAAACACTCTCCAACACGTGACTGGTCACCTGTCATTGTTTAGTTTCCTGGTGTAGTCCTTCCATAAGAGACAAACCACAGGCTCTTCACACGGTTCAGATATACCTGTGCAAAGTTGGGAGATTTATCAGACTTACTGAACCCGAGTGGTTTGAATTTCCTGAGTTTGGACTGACAGGTGCAACCAGAAAATAATTAAAAGTCTGTTTTTACTGATATTTTACAAGTAAATAAACAAGACCTGATGTGACGTGCGCAAAACCAGCACTCGTTTTTTTTAAGGAAGCAGCGTTTGTGCACGTTTCAGCCTGAGACCATTTCCATACTCAACGCATTAAAAAGCATTTTTGTTACAAGTAACGGAACGAAATAACCAAACAATACTGCTACAACTACACAACCAAAAGCTTGGCCAAAATGGGAAAAAATGGCAGCACCGTAAACACACCCAGGACTCACCTTCTTTAGGAGCTTCAGATACAAGTTGTTCAAACAAACATTAAGTTTCGCAGCGCCCCGAAAAATGTCACTGCTAAAAGCTGAGTGTTGATCCACAGCTTCAAATTCAGCAAAAAATATTAAAAACAGAGAGTGAAAGCTACTGGTCGCACACACATTTGTACAAGGTTTGTTTTCAGGCCCTGGCGTGCCTTTAAGGGAGAAGACAGACGCCCCCTAGCGAGCCGGAGTTGTATTGCTTTAAAAAAAACAACTGGAGAGATGTTGAAAATACAGAAAAAAAAACGTGTTTTCAGTTTTATAATCATTAACTTCGTGTACCAAGTTAACAATTCTTTGAATATAAGCTTATTTCAATGTTCAGTTTGTAAGGGTCAGCTTACACTTCTTATAACAAGGTTATAAGATTAATTTAATTAGCAAGGATCTCTTTTAATGTTTGGATAAACATTTCTTTAGTGCAA